TTCTTTGTAATTAGAAAAAACTTTTTGTTATATTTTGATATTTTTGAAATCGATTTGGTGGTTATAGAAAATGGCGTGAACTGCTATTGCCAATTTAATTTGAAGTCTATCCAGTTCTATGGGATTAATAGGAGGTTTCTTTGTGTACCTAATGTGTTCTTTGGCTCGAGTCAAGATTTTGCGAGATGACTCTCCATTATAATAGGCATCACAATCGATACAACCTAATTTGTAGACACAGTTTTGTGTGGACATGAAGGGGATTTTTTTCTTTTAAGCGAACTAAAGTATTTCGAAGTGTGTTCGTTGTTTTGTAATATACTTTAATTCTGTGTTGTTTTAAGATTCTTTGGAGTTCTTCTGTTGTGCCATGACGGTATGGTAAAACTGCATTGCCAATCCATGGTATTCCATTCGAATTATTATTATTATTACGCAATGAAACGTCTTGTTTTAATATACTTCTAATAATCTTCATAGTAAAATTATTAAATTGTAAGATGCTAATTACATTCTTTTGTTCTTTTTGTTTATCCTCTTCTGATGTGATAATCTTGTTAGTTCTTCTAAAAAGATTTAGGGCTAGCGAGATCTTTTCATTGAATGGTTGTTCTGAATTGAAGTAAATTTAACGATTAGCGTGTGTAGGTTTTCAGTAGATGGATATATTTAGGTTTCCATTTAGATTTCTTCCCACTAAGCAATTTAAAAATGGTAGCTAACCATGTTCATTTTCATTCTCGTTCGTAAATTTGATATGCAATGAAAGTGCATTGATCCGTTTCGAAAAAGATCTTAGACGAGTCTTTTTTATCATAACAAAGGTATCATCTATATATCTAAGCCAAATTCGTGGTTTAATGTCATTGGAGAAAATATTTGATTCTATATGTGCTGTAAACAGGTTGGCTACGATCGTTAGTTTGCTTATATAAAGTCCCGTTAAAAGTTAATAGTGGCGAATTTAAGTAGTTTTAAGGATGCTTAAAGGACATTTTTCAAAAAGAGTATTGTCGTTCTCTAGTAAATCACTAATGAATTCTAAGCATTTATCAACGGAAATACTAGTGTATAATGAAACATTATAGCTTACCATGATTTCGTCCTTTTCGATAATTAATTCGATATTTTATATTTAAAGTCATAAGAATCTTTAATCATATTATGTAAGTTGTAGTGGCTTTGATATTTTGCTCAGATATTTCGATAATGCATATGTTGGTGTGTTTGCGAAGTCTACTATAGGTCCTAGGGGGATGTCTGGTTTATGAATTTTAGGTAAACCATAAAAACGTGAAGTATTGCATGAGTTGGGATATAGAGCACACTATAGCGAGACACTAATGACTAGTTTTAGTCCTTTCAAAAGTTGACTTGTCTCTGATTTGACTTTATTTCTAGTCGTTAAAGGATTTTTGGGATCGATCTTTTCATATGGTCCCGTAGAGAGATGTTCAAGAGCTTTATTAATATAATCTTTTCTATTCATGACCACTGTTATATTGCCTTCGTCAGCTTTTGTGACTATAATAGTTTTGTCTTTTTGAAGCGAATGTGGAACCTTCAATTCTTCTTTTGAAATGTTAGGCGTAAAATGTTTTTGTTTAGTTAGAATATGAGATGTCTTTTGACGTAATAAATGGAGTTCAGCTCTCCTGCGTGTGAGACAGTTTTTAACCAATGGCACCGGAAGTTGGTTGCATAATAAAGCCAATTGATTACAGTTAGTTAATTTAAACGATTAGTTGATGACTTTCAAACACTCACTATGATCGAATAAACTCCCATTCACCGACTAAACTCCAGAAAATTAGAAATGACTGAGATATATCACTTATTATTGGACAACTTTATAGAAGTACTATGCGTAAAACCCAACTCTACCCGTAGCTGCTCTAGGGTTACTGCCGGTCTCAAGTCCGAGAAAAGAAGGAGAGTTGGGTATAAGTTTAGTGATATTTCATAAGAAAGATTCTTGCTAGAAACCGCTAACCATGAGAAAAAGTTCTATCCCGATATGTAGAAAAGTGTCGTGCAGGTGGAACATATCTATTTCCGGATACTTCAAAAGTTTGCTGATTGGTTCTGGGTTGGAATCTCGCAGGGAGCGGGATCATGGATGCGTACTGTTGAAGAGTCCCACACTAGGACGAAACAGCCACCCGGTGCTTCCATAGTTTTCATGGTGGTCTAGCTTCAGTTGACTCATAAGTTCAACTATTGAAAATTTTTTTTACTAAAATACATTCGTTGTGTGGATTATCTGTTGCACAGTCGGAAGAGTTGTTTGCAGTGTCGAATACTATGTCAAGCTCACATGGGTTATTCTAGCCTCCATACAGATCAATTAATTATTGAATAGCATCGATCACTAAGCCACAAGCACACCAAGAGGATTCGAGCAAAAAAGCTAATGCGCGCAAGCGAGCGAATACAAAGGAGGATCAATTAATAAGATCTAAGCACATACATATTTATGCAAAAGCAAGGGGAGTGAGTCAACACATTTTGATAAAGCGAGGTTCAATATTCATAGCCAGACAAAAACAAACTGCTGACACGTAATGAATAAGGTAAATAATACACACACTTACGCTCATATAAGAACAGTCAATGTTAATGATCGAATAATTGACAAGATTGAAATGTGGCTCATGAAAACTGAACCAGTCGGTCTGTACGGATTCTAGAGCAACCCATGTGGGCTCGACATAATACTAGACACTATATGTTCGATACTGTGTAATAAACACAGTGTAATAAACAATTCAAATAACGCTAACAAGTCTCCAAAATCTCGAACGAACTAATCTCATATTAGACTTTTACAAAATAAACATTTTTCGGTAAAATATTTTGCTCAAAAGTTTGAAGATTTTCCCGGTCAAATTATACGACAGTTTTGTAACTAAAATTTTGTTTTGAAATTTAAACTTATCAATAACTTAAAGGTCCAATTACTAGTTCCCTTCCCTTCCTGTAAATTTTATTGCATTATTCAAGTTATATTAGTTACTGAATAATTATATCTAAATCAGGATACTTAATAATAATTGTTTTCATCGACACAACCAAAAATATCCTGTTTTAGGGACATTTTCATTATTCTAAAAGAGAAGCAATCCGAAAGCCACTAGAAATTTATAAAATATTGTGGTATGATAAGAAGTGGCTTAATCAGATATGAATGCTTAAATCTGTTGACGGATGAAGCAGAAATTTATTTACTTCAGACAATGATTAATGATGTGGCATAATCTGAATACTCCTTAACTGTGATACTTTTGTGAGTTGTTGAACTAATCACAGTAAACCACTATAGATGTGGCCTGCTTGAATATCTGGGCTACCCATTCCTGCCATCTGGATATTTCAACAAGTTATCTTTTTGCTTGTTTGTTTTAGCACATCATTATGCCTATTAGTCTCATAACCCATTCAGGTGCGTTTGTGAAAAGTTTACATTTCACTGCACAAGTTACATAAGAGCCCAATCAGAGACATCGTGGTTGCTGGTTATATGCACCGAAAAGAATATACACTATTCAGATGTCGGGTCCTGAACTACTAACATCTGACTGGCGACCACTCAATATTTATCGCAAGGGTCGATCAAGAAATAAGGGACATAAAAATGTCTCAAACTTAACTTATTCAAGCATCTTACCATTGTCATTATTATCTTTATCATTGTTATTATTATTACGCTTGATAACCGTTTCGAGATATTTATTCAGCATTCACCCCTATTTTCTATATCTGACCTAATTCATATTATTCGACATATTACGTAATTTCTGATTTTTATTCCATTATTTTCTCTCTCACCCCATGTTGACAATATTTATTCTGATCATTTATCACACAATTTCATTTCGCTTATAAACTGATTCAAGTTAACACTTTACATTAAACAGCCCCAACATTAACAATCTGAATTGATTTTATATAACAAACAACAATTCTCAATCCATATATTACAATTTGCAAATGATGTACTCTGCCTTAAATCTGGCCAATTTTATGGATTATTAATTTGGATTTATAATTGTAGAACCTGATGAGAAATTATTGACAAGAATATACTTCGTTCATATAATTGTGTTTTAATATAATGGGAATATTTCAGCGATTAAAATAGGAAAACTCGTTGAAATACTTTGTGTTGAGAATTCTATATTGTACCAAAAATATAATATTGAGTAAGGTTACTACTATTGTGGTGCGTGCTACTTATATTGATATAAGTGGTATATGACGCGAGTCAGGAATGCAATGTCTGGCAGCAGAAGATCGGGGAAGATCAAGAAAGCAAGAGCGGCAATAGAATGCAATTTGTATGAAAATGCAAGAACAATGAAGTCTGAGTCATTTGAAACAATTGGTGGACACTTTGCAAATTAACGATTTGATATATGGGTCTCAGATTTTATTGAGATGTTCTGTAATTTTGTGTTAAATACATTCGATTGTCCCCACCTGTGTTCTGTTCACTACACTATTACTACTAATAATAAATAAACGGTGTTTCTACTATAACCTTTTTATGTTGCTTAAAACAGAAAGCTGAACGTCTACTGTATAATATTATTTTGGTACCGGACCATTTCTAGTCTTCCGACGTTTTCGAAGACACATGTGCTGTTCAGCGCAATCCATTGCTTGTCAGTTTAATAATCTGCTTGTTCATATTGGATAGGTATACTTAAAAGAATCACTGATTGGAATATTATCGAACAACTTGTTTTGTATTGACTGATGTAAAATACTAAAGCTTAATACCAAGAGTTATCAGTCTAGTCATCCCGTTTCACTTCCTTCCACTGTAATGGTAATCGAGAATTTTTAATCATCCGAGCACTTTCGATAACATTGCAGTTCGTTTCGGTCATCATAGCCAAACTCGTTCTTTGTGTTCTAACATTTCTTCTGTGTCTCTTAACAAAATACTCTTGGCATATCATAAAACCTGGGATGCCGATCGTAAAATAACCAATACTAAAGCATTAACCAAGTATAACAAGTGATACAATAATTTCAGTACAGTTCAGTTCACTGAGTATGCATTAATTTATTAATTATATAACAAAATATAAAGTAATAAGTCTACAATAATGTATATATATATGAGCAGAAAACTATAATCAACATTCAAAACGATCATAAAAAAGAACAAAAAGAGTTAAACAACACTGTTGTATAAAAAAATAGCAAATCGTCGCAGAACAACACATAGGAGGGAAGAGTAAAAAATACGTTGTGATGATAATGATTTAGGTAACAATGACGATGATTCTAACAATAATGTTGCTAGATATCTTCTTTTATTTTCATTTCTTTATTTAACAATTATAATATTGGTTGTTCCGTAACGTCTAAACTGTTATAACGACGTAAACGCAGTGAATAATACCAAAAGACTAGAAGCATTATTACAGAGGAGATTGATGCACCGACAAAGATAAATACAATTGGATGTAATCGATAATTTACGCTATCCGGTTGATCTATTGAACATTCTTTATAAAATCTATCAGTACTCAATAATAATGGTTTAATTTGTTCCAATACAAGATTCACAGGACAACCATTGTAACCAGGTTGACCTTTACAAGCTGGTAAGGTTAAATATTCACCAGTTTCATCAGTCCAACCTTTTTTATACAACAATTTTATACGATAATCACTTTCTTTGCTAGATTTATCTGGACCATGTAATTCTAGAATAACAGTAGATGCATAATTAATTGTTTGATTATTATAAACACCGAAACCAGCTAAAATATAAGTTACATCAGTATCATGAGCTGAATAAATCATCATATGTTCGGTGGATAATGTATATTCATAAGTTAAATTCAATTGTTCCCCACGTATGATGGAATGTATATGTTTAACGAATGTGTTTAAGAAGACACCAATTTCCAATCGAATGATATCATCTGAAGAAGAATATTTTTTCTGACGAAAAAAAAATAGACATTTACATATGTATTTGATATTAGCACCAGGATAGTATAACTTACTTTATTGTGTCGCAGGGATTTGAATATTTTGAAATTTACGCAGAAAAATATACCATTATGAATGATTTTCAAAGATTTTTTCAAATGATGGAAACGAGCGACTGAAGGCTAGCATACGTAGCCCAATCACAAATGATCAATTAATTAATTCGTATTTACTATTTTATGAGGTTAAATGGGAAATGTTTGGTTGATATAAAGAAAAATAGAGACATTGTATATGATAAAGCAAATCAGACAAATGTATTATACAGTAAATAACGTATAGTATTGACCTTAGTCAATATACAGGGTTTTGTACACCTTGATATGAATCCTGACAAATTTTGAAGTACCGATGTTCGATCAGCTCGCCATTTGTAGTAAGGTACTAAGTTGGAACTATTTAAAAACTATACAATTAAAACCCAGTAAAAAGTTGCTTCCAAATTTTGCAAACACTAAAAAAGAAACGATTATCAAATTTTTAGAAGTAGCCCTTTAGTAGTAAGTTTACATGATTTTCAACTGCTAGTTTACACGTCCGAATCCTGCTCCTCGTACTGCCGTTTAAACAGTTTGGTATTATTCTTAGTCTTCATGTAACACACGTGTTACTAAAAATCGATTACATAAATCTGTACTTGGTACAAATTACAGCTTTCTCTCCGATATTTATGTCAAAATATATTGAAAGAAAATGTGATTACTGCAACTTTCAAATGGTTTTAATCATATTTAAACTACATCAAGCGATCAAGGTTCATAACCCATTAACGTTTGACCTTTAAATTCTTCAATTAGTTATTCAACCATACATACGTATTACTTAGACGATGAGATCGAGATACAAGTAATTTAGTAATTAAGGGAAAGTTCACGTACTCAATGACGAGTAAATTCATTTTTGTGGAGACTAGTTACACTATCATGTCGCCCATACTAAAGTAGGTAAAAAAATATTAAACTAACAGTCCAGTGGTTGAAAATTGAGTTATTTAACTAGTAAACCATTAATCCATTGAAACTGAATGAGAAACTTATATATTGAGCTAAACAGGTAACAGTTGAGTATATTAAAAGTTAGAATCCGTAAAAATTAATTTTAATATGATAAAAGCTCATTAACAATTACGTCACAATTTTTGTTCAGGCAAATTGCCAAGTTTTTGTTTAGTGAAACTTCTAAAGTAATTCGTTACATTAAAATGACTATCTGGACCTGGTAGCTAAGCGGATAACACGCTGGCATCTGAAGCGAAAGGTAATGGGTTCGAATCCAGGAGAGAGTATCAATTTCGAGACACAGGTAAATCCAACCGACGAACTCCAGATAAAACGAAACGCACGTCCTGGATCCCATTGTTAGTCACTACCCATCTCTGCCTAAAACTGGTTAACTTGGATTTACTATTATATAGTTAATTTTGTAGAAATTATCCAACAATCATGTGTTAAACCGGAAAATGAGAGATGATCGGTTCACGACGTAAATTATGAAGAGAAAATTAACTTACGCTAATGTATCAAGGATACCTGTGTACAATCCAGTGACTTTGAATATTATAAGTACTTGTTCAAAATAGAAGCTAGTATAGAACCCGAATGTTCTCTAGTCGTCTTAACAATAAATTAACGGACAGAAAATGAATGAGTTATCTTGATTACATAACTGTTAGCGGGACATAGACTGGATTAAAGCATGCTCAATGCACGATTGCTTTGGTGCACGCTGATTGGATAAGAAATAGCCAATCAGCGTTAGTCAATACTTAGTGAACACTAGGATCTTCTCATGTAAAAGTTATAAATATACTAACGTTTTCCCTATTGCATTTCCTACTTGCTTCTTACTTCCATCTAACCTTGTTATTTGGAATATAATCTCTTCCCTGTTCAACCGTGTTCTGATTTGGGGGCTTGTCGAGTGAGTCGGTGTCCGAGATTACTAAGCAATAGGAATAGCTGGGTTATAACAATAACTATCTAGCGTTTATAGTCGGGAAATATTTGTTTTATGTATCTTGAGTGAAAGTATGTCCTCTGGTTTGCTCGCACTCTCAAAATTAATAAATAACTGTATATTCGATAATACATAAGCAAATAACCTTATCACATATATCTAATTGTGGGAAAAAAATGCTTACCACCCAATAAAATCTATTGACTTCATATAATTCTGCTAAAAAATCATCTGTACACCAATCAGGAAGGGTAATGTTATGAGCAATCATACATGTAATAAAATCGGATATGGACCATACATTATGACGATTAACTGGACCAATACCAGAGACATTAGTAAGTTTGACAAATAAATTTGAGTGATTTTTCTCAAATTCAATAGATGGTTGACTATCCATTTGTATACGTTGTAACGAATCCCGATAAGGACATGGTGCAACACCCAAAAGTGTATCTGTTACCTGTAAACAAAAATATAAGACAATGTACGCTGATATTGACAATAATTAAGAGGTATATCATAATGAATACAGCTGGGATATCACACAACCACAGTGGTGTAGGCTAACGACATTCACCCACTAGACTACAGCATCACTCTTATTTATATAGTTTGAGTATTTGAGGTCTAAAAAAATATTGTTTCATATTTTAAAACAGTGACATATACAGACAAGTGTTACTTACCGAAATTAATTAAAATGTCAACGATCGATTATAGCTATATCCACGATGAATATTAACTTTAGTTAGAGATGATAGAATGTAATGTAATTCGTTAGTTAAGTGGAATGAATAACAAAGTATGATACTTCATTACCCCTAAAGTTCATAGTTATTTTATTTTCCTTATACATTGGTACCCTTATACTGTATTTTGTGCGCGATAGTAACAACATAAGTAGATAGTGATATTTTGTAAATAAAATGGTGACATGGTAGTGAAATCATTCAACTTTCAACTGCTGGGTTGATGGTTCAAACTTCAATTCACTTTTATTTGAGCAATCAGGGGATATTACTAGCCCTTATAAAATGTGTAGGTGAAAGATGAGTATACAAAATTAAATAAATTTATTTTATAATCATGAATATTGTGAAAAACTGGTCAAAACTCAATCGTTGAATCACTTAAATCAAGGTAATGAAATGAAATGGAGTATGACAACTACTTACTACGTAACGTAACTACTCGACGAGTATTGTTTCATTGTTGTAAATCATATATATATATATATATATATATATATATATATATATATATATATATATATATATTAGTGTAGAGCCATGATTAAAAACTAATTGGAAGGAAATTTCTCCGCTCGAGTCGTTCTTTTTACCATGTAAAAATGAGAATTTTCACTATACTCAAATGTTCTGAGCAGACGTTTGTGTCAAAGGTTCTCCAGGAATATCTGAATTACAACCCAAGGCTCAGTGAAGCGACGGCAAATGTTGATTTTATCAAGGAATGCATGGGAAACAACTTGCATTCAAAAGTATATTAGAAATCTTTACGTCGCTCTACAGTTCGATTAAATTGAAAGACTCAAACGTTATGTATTAAATTAAATCAATTCTCTAAATTTATATATTACTGAGACACTAAAAAGTGTCAATCAGTTTACGCAGTGGAAGAGCTTCTTAATTAATTAAAAGGAAAATTGTCGGACTATGTAGTTGGTACAGGAAAAGAAAAGAAACGTATGAAACTGAAAGAAAATCTAGACAAATATATTCCAGAAATGATACTCTCATCTAAACCAGGCCAGTATGTACACAATTTTCCCAGTGTTAAGCTTAATACGGCCGAATTAAAAGCGTTATCACTAGATAAATAAGCGTTTAGGAGTTTCTATAGACACTTTTTGTAGAGAAAAGCATCAATAAAATAAACATGTACATAAAAAACTGAAAATGATAAGATACCTTTTTGACTTATGAAATACAGCTAATATATAGTTATTATTGATGATATAGCTTCACTTCGTTAAGATGGAAATAGAAATACTATTATGACGAAATAAGCACTCATCAAGATGCAGTCACAAACAAGGTATCACTTATTGCTGTTTTAACAATGAAACAAAAGTTTAGAATCCCGTTACATGATCATGATCTTAGAGTCTTGTGAACAGCTTTCGATTTACGTTTCCCGAATCTTATTTGAAAATATGAGTTTTTGACTTCTAAAAGTTAACACAGAATTCGGTTGATATACATACATATACAAAAACTGAGCTCTCAAAATTAATCTTCAGGTTAACATAAAGTTATACTTACTTGAGGTTTTGTATGAACAGGTATGGGAAACCAATTGATGCCATAAGCGGACAGAGGAGAGGGAGACTGGTTATAAAACCCAGCTGCATTTGCCATTGCTGACATTAGAGTTCTATCGACATCCGTACTACGAACATGATAATAAGAACCGTTATATTTACTGGGAACAAATCCTTGATACTTTGATCGTAACCACTTCCCAAGAAAAAAGTGCTGCTCTACACCTTTGTCTGTAAGCATGCCGAAGCCTTGCGACCAAGCAGAAGGAATTTTGTGCAGAATAGCAGGCATGTTAACGATTGGAGATCTGTCACCATGTCGAAATAAAATATGGAGATGTTTGAGACTATCGTTTACAGAGTGATTATGAGTGGTGGGAGACGACTGCTCTAGAGAATATGCTTTATTAGGAGGAATCCTTGACCAAAATCCGAGAAAAATGAAGAGTATCTTGACCACATAAGTTGATATACGGGTCATTTGTGCACACCTGTAACTGGCCACTTAGTAGTACAATATCTACAGAGGGAAGAGATAGATCACCATTAAAAATATTAATAATTACAAGAGGTTAAAACCTGAAATAATTCCCGACTACAGAATTAGAACGAAAGTGGACCCACTTAATGTTTGTGATTTGTAAACTATGGGTTTTGAATAGTAGTAACTTAAAATTTGCTGAAATAATGGAGTTGAAACGTAAAATCCGAATAAAGAATTCTCGGCATACAAAACCATGTTGGTGATGGAGTCGTACTCAAAATAAAAATGTCTAATTGAATGGTCAAATAAAAAAGGAGTATTTCGAAGAGTGTTCAGATGCACTATGGTTAGTAAATCATTTCTGAAGCGGTAATTTGTGTATACACTTAATAGTGAAAACGAAAATGTCAGAATAAAGATTAAAGTATGTGTTTAGGGGTACAAAGAGAGGAACTTGATCGTGACATTTATATGCTGAATCAAATTTTGCATATGCGATACGAATACTATTTCAAACAACTAGGTAATGAGTTTAACAACGATGAATTAATCACAATAACTTTATTTCTTTCCAGACATAACAAGCAGTAAATTAAAACCACACAATAGGAAAATCAAATATGATCATAACCAAAGCGAATTTGTTTCCTAGATCAAAGTAAATTGAAGGTAACTATGGTTAATTCTGATATAAAAATACTCAATTATTTGAATTAAAACCTTGAGATATTTTGGATGCGTGCTTTTTATTTTTCTCATGTGATTTGAAAATTGGTAAGCAATAAAAATATATTACCGCTTGAAAATTCCCACTCTTCAATACAATTTGTGTTTACATCAGTATAACTGTCCAGATTGATGAACCACTCCGCAATTGTCAACAGTTCAGCAAAATGTAAATACAAACGGGTGTTATTCAATATTGAAATGCTAACTTATATATTCATAGAACAAACTCTAATAACGTTAGCCGAATGCCAATCGGTTGGGATCTAGCTAACACGTATGATAGCACCTTGTGAGTTATTTCACGATACTACAGGTCAAACGTATTTATCTGGGATAAATATTCACATCAATAATAGACGATTCCAACTATGTCACTTTTAATTTCACTAACAGCTAAGTTCAAAAGGGGATAAAATCAGAAACACGTGTTAAATGTAAACGATAATTTTAATTTGAAAAGATACGTCACAGCATTTTCGTTGGTATAGAAATAACCTGTAAACAAGAATTTTAAGCTCATTGTACACATGAGACAGAATAGTAAGGGCGTTAGTAAGTAATGAAGCAACTTACTTTACGTTAATCGGCAAATTTGCCCGAAAATGTTAGATGAAAGCAGTTTTCAATAGCACTTAACAATTCAGTTCAAACTGCAATTGCTCTCGCTTTGCTCCTACTTAATAATGCTAATTTATAGTTTTCTTTTATTTTATTTTATGGTTACTGTTTCAACAAGTCACTACCCATACCATACAATCAGTTCAACTAACCTTTACAGGAAGTAACCTTGTACAAGCTACTAACGCTGACTGCTACACAAAATCTGGCAGTTACTTGTGCTATTAATGATAAACTTAGTTGATTTGTAGATGAAAGGTAAAAGGGGTTCTTACTAGGTTGAAAGAACAAGTGTATAACACTACATAGAAACACTTAAATCTTGATGTGAGAAAAGACTGACACTAAAAATGTTCTATATGAATTCTCAGTGGGAAATGTTTTATAGTGATCCAAGTTGATTATTTTCGGCTGGAGAATTTTATCTCAGCTAACTGTAGCTATAATGAATCACGCTAGGCCGCTATACTAACGCACATACGTAAAGCATGAATGTTAAATATTTTAGGGCACAACATATTGTAGTTTTACCTATCCCAGTAGATCCGTAGTCGTGTCAAATAAATCCGTCACTACCAGTATACTTGTGGCTGACAGATCAGACAGATGCGATTGCATTTGCATAATTATGGTGGCAATATTAACATAGATTATTAGACTAAAAAACATGAAATTAATGACAAACATTGGTAGACATCAAAAGGCTTATCAACAAACGCCGTAGAATTGACAAATTGCTCAAGAAAAATTTGAAAGCAATGCCATAGTTAGTATTATAGTTATAAAGTAACTAACAGTTAGCCGAAATACAGTAAAGTGACCAGGGTGTTTTACAAGTAACGGTTTATTGAATGAATATTTTATTAAACTAGTTATGTTGTTAACTTAGAGAGACCTAACTGTGTGAGGAGCTTACAGGACTTGATTTGTTACTGTCATACGACCGGTCTCCAAAAAACTTTGACATCTTATTTAGAATGAAGTCGTAGTTTTAACCAAAATTTCACTGAAGAAGAAATGGCCTCAGGACACTATGAACAGTAAGATGGGTTTGATACGATGCATACAGATATTAAAAACTAGAAACAAACAGACGCTGACTAGCAGCGGGATGACAAGCTCACCGTCGTCCTAGAAACTCCAAGCGCGGGGACGACCTTCAGATTTAAAAACAGGGACTCTGTTCTTGACTTTATTTCGATATCCAACACATTTAAAACGACAAAGCAAGTTAGGCGGAAAATAGCAAGGTGGTCGTTGTTTTCGGCACCATATTGTGATAAACAACAGTGACTTTTGAGTATGAATCAGTACATGTTTGTTTTACGAGCAAGGAGTATTAGCTTAGGGTTCAAATGGTTGTGGATGGAATAGACCAAGTCTTCTCTTAAAGAGCTTATGTATCTAATAACAGTGAATCACCGATACCGTTAGGTTGGTATCTAGATATATTTGACGATAGAAGAGAAAAAAATCGACAAATCATAGTTAGGTGCCGTCCTTAGTCCTTAGGAATATGTCACATTTTCTCTTAAAGGACTCCTGCAAAGTCGCTTGGACTAGCTCAGCCGGCAGTGAATTCTGGCATTTGGCTACTCTTATCAAGTAGCAGATCTGCTTACGATCCGTTATGTTAGGTTGTGTCTCCAGTTTCGGGTGTTACCTCTAAGGTTTGTGTTGCAACTAAGCTTCAGTAGGTGTTTAAGCGGATGTCCAGAAGTGTTAAGGATACTACGAGCCATTAAAAGATCACTTCTAAGACGCCTATACTCTAGCAGGTGAATTTTTGGTGATTGGAGGCGCTCTTCATAAGACTTGAACACGAGTCCGCGAACTGATTTCGTGGCTCGCCTTTGGATACACTTCAGAGTATCCTTATCCTTTTGAAGTGAGGGAGGAAATACTGCGTTTCCGTACTCTAAATGGGGACGAATAAAACTGTTGAAGATTGTGTGTGGATTTTTTCTGTCAAGCTGGCCAAAAATGCGTTTCAATGATATCAGTGCAATATTTGCATTCCTCAGATTTCGTCGTATTCAGATGCGACAAATGTTCTTTTCTGACCCATAATGCACATTCAAACCTCAGGATTTAGGAATTATTTTTCTTATTCGGGTCGTATCCGCATTATTAGTTAACTGGAGATTGCTCCAGGTTTCTGTTTGGTGTTTACCGTTCTTCATGACAAATCCCTATGTTTAGTATATTTACAGACTATTTATGGCATTTGTATCACTAGATGACCCCCCTTTAACTTGACTACGCGCATGTTCCGACTTTCAAGTATAATACGTACATTTGAGTTCATCTATTTCTGTTTGTCTTGAGTTGTACTATTCAATTCGACTATTACCATAATATCAATCTTTCACAGTTGTTCGCTGTTTTTGCCACTTGTTGAATCATAAGTTTATTTTCATTTGATATCGTAAATGGATGAATGTTAGACCACCATTGAAAGCCTGGAAACATTGGATGGCAGCTTTGTTCTTATATAGGACTCCTCAGCAACGCACATCCACGATCCTGCACCAAAGGAACTATAACCCAGGACCTTTATTCTCGTGGGCAAACGCTTAACCTGTAGACCACTGAGCCGACGTTCAACGGTATTATTGTCTGATTTCAACAAATCCACGATATTGAACAGCCGTTCACCATTGACTTCATTGTGTAAATGTCTCTCCATTGGTCACGGCTTCTCACTAGAACTACAGGAAACCAATCTCGAAGCTATTCACCAGTAAGCACATGATCATCGTGTGAAACCCAACAATATCTGCAATCCTATACTTATAATAAATTTATTCACAGCTAATACTTAACCGTCCTTATGTAAACTATTTGTAAGAAAACAGCCAAAAACAGAAAATCAATCAAGGACACTCAGGAAGTCAAAAAATAGGTATTTCAGTACCATCAGAATTGATTCATCGGACATAAACATCACTGACGGTACGTTGCAACTTAACACTACAGTGACATAGACTGTGCTAGATTCTCTCGAAAAATTTGTTCCTCCCTGTAGAACTCTTTGAATTAAACAGGTAGTATCAGGAAGGTTACTATGAGCTACCGTAAGCAGAGTCATAAGGGACCGGTGGTGACCTTTGAAAATATTCAAAGCTTACGTATCGGGCGAAATTCATCAGGTGTTTCTGTCCATAAATGTCACCTAATCGGTTGAAGAAAGACGTTAAAATTCTGATAGCAACAAACTGTCTAATCAAAAGGATTCCAGTTTTAGCTAAGTTTTGTAATATCAGTCTGGTAATCGTAAACATAAAAGACTACTCCAGTTTCATCCGCAGATTTTAATGACAGAAAGAATGCTTTGGATGTTAAAAAGTAGCACAAACTTCCTAAAGTGGAACTATTAAAAGTCTCACGACTACTCGAAAGACACCAGTCAGTAAAAATAGTGTTGATACCATTAGTACAATATAATCTTCTGTGTCTCAGACGCCGATATCCCATATTTGTGACCGTAATTGTAGCTAGCGTCAATCACGGGGTATTGCGATCCGTGATTGTTGCTCGAAATCACTGAGAAAAAACTATGAATTCCAGATCATATTTTTGCAAATTATCGCTATTTTAGGTAACCGTAGTTAATGTTGTAGTCAAATGATTTTTATTGTGCCAGTGTATGAGACATATTGAAATAAATGGATAAATTCACTTCCTATGTCATTATTCATTTGTTTATTCTAGTTTGGCGATCGGTGGCAGTTAATTACACTGTATTTTGTTCTCATCGTGAACGTGGGAACTGTTGACGAAAAGTGGTTTGTAGGGTCTGATTCGTATCAGGAGTAAATAAATTATCTACCTCAAGCAATGGGTGAAAGATTTCATAGATCGCAGATTGACTGAAGTTAAACATTAACACCGTTGGATGCTAGCTCAGCGGTCTAAAGGTTATGTGTTAGTGCGCGAGATCTAAGGGCCTGGATTCGAATTCTCGTGTCCGGGATCGTGAATATTCATTGCGGAGAAGTCTCACACTGTGATAGAGCAGTCGTTCGGTGTTTCCAGGTTTTCAATGGTAAAATAACTAAAGGGACCCGTAATTTCAATGGCGAAGGTCAGATAACAGCCGAAATCTTCGCGCATAACATGGTATCTAGATTAGACTCAAAATCACAATGCAACTGATTGTATTACTTGTGGACTGTGGGAAACAAACATTCATGAAGGGTTCAGAGACACCGCAATCGAGAATCTTTAAGTAGGTGAGTTTCTGTCCCATTCACATAAGTCTTATTCAAACACTAGGACAGAAATACGTGTCCTTTTCATATAAAAAGCATCAACCTTTTATGTAAAACTCCCAAAGTTTACCAGATGAAGTAGGCTAGTTACTTGAGCTAAGTGGTATGAATAGTGCTCGTCTGATAAGAGTAACAGAAACACTAGTGTTAGGTAATTTTACTTCCAAAGTATTCTGTATTCTTATGAAAATCACGTCTTAAATGAAATAATCCATCTAAAGTGGCATCCAGAAATGCTCATGTCACGCATTATTGATTTATTTGTAATCTGAGTCATCGGAAAAAGTATTTTGGGGCCAGACAAAATGACATTATCACAAATAACTTCACAAACTAGTGATCGTAGATGAATAAATGTGTGAATTTCACTCTTTGGTAAACTCAATCAATAAGTAGAAATGAGTATTTTCCATTCTGTATGGGAAGTTCGGACCATAGTTAAGAAAGCCACCATGTAGCTTCTGCAAATATGTTGATCATACTCAAACAAGCTTAATAAGCGCAATAAATGCAAAGTGATTTACACATTTATTTACACATACTGTCATTTACTCTTCTTTTTGGTAGGTTATCATGCCGCTCATGGAATCTGAAGGCATGGTTCTTACAATCCACAAGAATATAATCACATGAATGTGAAATGATCTACAAATTAATTGCAGATAGTAACTCTGCATGGAACTATCATTACGCCAACATTACACTTGGGGAACAGATTGATAATCTGTTTTTTTAATCATGTGGGGGTAGTCTTCTGATGTATGGAAATGGAATACATGTTTTATCTTTATAAGCTTCATATATCTGCGCTCTTCATAAACTTTATACCAATAAAAGTTCATATTTTTTAGCTCATTGCTTTACGATCATACAAATCAAAGATTATCTATTCTAGTTGCTTAACAGCATCACATTGACTTGTATCCTACTAGTTTTCAATCACACTATCCTTGCAGTCGAATATGAGATTACTGAAGAAATTCACACTCAAGACCTGACACATAGAGGCCAGAGCAGGTGAACGCTGGAAAACTTGATCGGGATTGAATAGCTCGGCCATGCAGGCGTAATCAATCTTTGTAGCCTCTTGCTTGTCATATTAAATATATTACTCTCACACCAGCTCAAATGTATTATTCGGAAGTCATCGACTGCAACCACTGACTGTCACGACTAGATGAATCAGTATAGATAATATTGTATCTTTCATGTAAAATCTTATAGATTGGACGGTCACATCATAACAAATCTACGGCAACGAAACTGGTCTATTATTGTAGTAGCATAGACAACTGCACTTCATACCGATTAGAATCAAAACATTACAATCTCACACGTAAACACACTCATTTTCCCAAACACACTGAATTTAGATGGTTTTGTCTCGGCATTAGGTATATTTTTAAGGCAGTCCTGAAACTTTGTGGTGATGAATATATTGCATTTTGTGTTTGTGAGATAAATTTTATACTGCAACATTATATTCAACCAACTCTTTAGATAAATTGATGAGGTGTGACATGGTAAAACGGGAACGTATGGAAGACACAGAGTGCCGTTGCTTGATAAAATGAATGTCTTCTAAAAAAGTATCAGTATCCTGATTTCTGTACTTTGCATGAGGTCCAATGTCTCAGAAGAATCTCGTTGTGAATAATCATCTACAGGCTCAGTGGTAAGGTAGTGAAGTTGTGCTTACGTATCATTTAGAAGAGACATCAAAAAATTGACGAAAAGGCTACAATGCTAAATCCTGTCACTGTTTCCTGCAGTAGCTTGCTTATTAAGGACTTAATGTGGCTTAGATAGTGTTCAAGTCTAGCCTTTGTTTCTTTATCACGAGACTCTATTACCTCGAAAAAATTTGACTAACC